ATTGTATACTTATATTGTATACTTATATATATAATATAGCTCATTGTATTGCGTATGTGCTTGTATATACACACACAGATTCCGATGACGGCATGGGGGACGATACCGGAAGTGATTGCGATGACGATGGCGGGGATGGCGAAAAATGTGATGGCGACGATCGATCCATGGACAAGAGAGCCGTGAAGGTTTCACTACCGAGTAGCTACAGTAAGTTGATTATTACCAAGAGCTTCGAATACCTTACTATACGTATTACTATTACTATCGGTATTATATGCTTTTGTTACTAGCAGGGGGTGGTAAATAATAAGAAGAATTTGTCATAATTCAGCCCTGTTATTATATACTCTCTATACGTACTATAGTAACTATACCCTCTACTAATTATTAATTAATTAATTTTCTCTACTATACGTTACCGTCATACATGTTATGGAGCTTATATAATGATCGTATTGTGTATTATTAATTGTTGAAGTAATTGTAATTAACGAATGAGAGTTATCTATGTGTATGTGTATGTGTGTGTGTGTGTGTGTGTGTGTTTATATATAACGTATTTGTGTTTCAGTGTGCAACCCGTACAACGCGGCCAACTACATCTGCTGCCGTGGCGCCATCTGGCCGCGGGGAAGCAACAACGCTCGCTGCTGCGGCTACATGCGCTACGACTACACCACTCACATCTGCTGCGCCGGTCAGATCATACCCCGGGGATCCAACAACGCCTGCTGCCGCTCCATCGCCTACGATAGAAGCGTCTACATCTGCTGCGGAGGCATGCTGCGCGTCAAAGGCTCCAACACGGCCTGCTGCGGCAGCACCCCCTATAATTCTGCCACGCATTCGTGCTGCAGAGGCGTCATCTACATCAGGTGCGACGGACGCCATGTTTGAGTTTTAATCTCGTCGAAGAAAATTCATGATCACGATGTCAATGTCATGATGATGATGATGATGATGATGATGATGATGATGATGATGATGATGATGATGATGTTCATGATGATGATTGATGTCGATGTTTTCATTAGGATGATTAAAGGAGTTCCTGGGTAGAAGAAACGGGGAATTGTTGGGAAGCGTTAGAGTTAGGATTAGAGTTTAGGTTTGGGTTAAGATTGGAGTTGCGGTTGCGGTGAGGGTTAGGGTTATGGTTAATGATGGGGATAGTGATAGGGTTAGTGTTAGGGTTAGTGTTATTGATGGGATTAGGGTTAGGGGTATGGTTGTGCTTATGGTTATGGTCAGGGTTAAGGTTAAGGTTAGATGTAGGGTTAGCGTTAGAGTTAAGGGTAGTTTCTCATAGTACCCGGGGAAACATTCAACATTTATTCATAAGAATGATAATGTATATAATATATATATATATATATATATATATATATCGAGACGGTTGACGTTATCCCAGCTTTTGTTCGACTACAGGGCCAGCTATCTGTGCTGCGGGGGCGTCATCGTGAAGAGGGGCAACAACAACGCCTGCTGCGGGACCACCCCCTACAACAGAAACACGCACATATGCTGCCGCGGCCGGCTCTCCCCGAGGAACGGCAACACACGCTGCTGCGGCTTCACGCCCTACCACCACGCGAAGCAGCTTTGTTGCCGCGGCGTCCTTAGCGACCGCACCAACGGTCAGACGGCGTGCTGCGGCACCCTACCGTACAACTACAAGCTGTACATATGCTGCGCTGGACAACTGAGGAAGAGGGGGAGTAACAACCGCTGCTGCCGTACCGTGGCTTACGACTGGAAGAAGTATCTGTGTTGCAGCGGGAGTCTCGTTCTGAGGGGCACCAACAACGCCTGCTGCCGTACGCGCCCGTACAACTACAAGACGCACGTCTGTTGCTCGGGTGTGGTCCGGCCAAGGATCGCTAAGTCGACGGCCTGCTGCGGTGGGACCGTTTATAATTACGCGACTCATATCTGCTGCGCGGGAAAGGTGTGGGACAGGCGCAACGACAACGCCTGCTGTTGCTACCGCCTGCCGATAGTGGCGCTGCTACAGAATGTCAAAGTGTGAGGCATAGATGTAGAATTGAAGAGCAGATCTAGATTAAAACCGTAGATAGATCTCTATTCTATATCTACGGTTCGCCTCAGTACTTAACATCATAAACTCAAAAATATTACTCTTCAAAGTCCAGGGGACTATTATTAAAGACGAATAATATAAGTGCTTAAACTTAAATCCTATTACCTATAATTATACGCGCTAAGATCGATATCATTCTCAATCGTAAGGAGGTACACAAAAATCAAGCCGTATATAACTACTGATTATATCATTAAACATGTAAATGAATGCGGATGAGAGATCGTGGATGAGATGAAGGTGTTTCTGCCGGCCAGCGTTGCTGTACCAGTGTTTATAACATCGTTTACCAATCAAACATATGTATAACGAAATGTTTCAGGTTTATTGATTTTTCTTCTGTGAAAGCCAATAAGATTTTTGCTTGAGAAATTTCGTTTGATTGGAATGCGTACAACCGAAACTTGAACGGTTCGTATATGATATATTGCACAATATTGTAATAAATATAAGTGATTTGCATTTAAATATACAGACGTTAAATCGCTATTCATATGCAATAATCCTATTACATTTACAGTGTAATTATGTTTGCTTCTTAAACATCTATTCTTTTTACGCGAAAGCTGTGAACAGAACTTAAATGCAATTGAAAACCGAGAAGAGAGAAATAAGGAGAGATGAAGAAAATACAATAATAAACGATATAACGCCATTTCATTGCATTATTTAGTGATTTATTTATATGAATAAATAGTGTATTTACAATGGCGATGCGAACTGTACAACCCAGTACACTGTATATTACAATAGTAAGTCTGTGTGCGGATACAATCCGTATAATGATTCTAATACCAGCATCGTCTTACCGACACAAATAATAAGTAGGGATCGAAGTGGACACGCAATACACGTTATCATTCTTTCTTTATATACATAAAAATCTGCCACTATGCAATAGATGAATAGAGGTTTGAAACTAAATGCACACCGAAATACGCGAAAGGACTTGCTCGTGACTGCAGCACGTTCACCGCATTGTGTATATATATATATTCAATGAATAGATTCTATGAAACCATGTCAGCTCGGTATAATAGTTACACAACCTCTTTGGCTTCGAAACAAGAAAAGGTGCTCCTTTTTTACGCCGTCTATCTCTCTTTTTTGCTCTATCTCTCTCTCTCTCTATCAATCTCTCTCTCTCTCTCTCTATCAATCTCTCTCTCTCTCTCTCTATCAATCTCTCTCTCTCTCTCTCTTTCTCTCTCTCTAAGTCTCCCTTCTTTGCCTAACTACCTGCTTTTCTGTCTAAGAGATATATACAACCTGGTATGACCACTAAAATACACACGGAACGCGAGACTCGACTATTATACCTATACACCGCTATGACCAGCCAGCCACGAAACACAGCTACTACCACCACCACCACCACCACCACCACACCTACACCACACCTACACCACACCTACACCACACCTACACCACACCTACACCACAGCTACACCACATCACACCCACACGCAAGAATGCGCGGATTATAACACGTACAGTTTATACGACTGTTGCATCATATATCTATATGCAGCCAGACTGCGCGAAATAAATCTACGTGACTCGTCTTTTTCCTAAATACAACTTCACAAATACACCATACCTTTTGCTACACGCGCATACAATAGTTTACACCAAATAAATAGTATTTGGGAACGATCAGCGGATATATAATTTATTATACGTCGAAATATTTAAAAAAAACACGGGATAAATTGCGGAAGATCAATCGATAACAGTAATAATTACAAACTCAAAGAGAGATCGCTTTCTTTGTGTCGCCGGTAAGCAGCAGTGCGACAACGTTTTATGGTTTTACGTTTGACAGATATCTCGGTAACTTACGTCAAAACACGAGGCATATCTACACAATACGATGATACACGCCTCCTTCTCCTCCCTTCTCTATACCCTCTTTTCCTCCTCCTCTTCTAACATATGTATATTATACAAAAGCAACTACTCGGTGATCTGAAATGACTAAAGAGTAATGCTGGTGTGTTGTTTAGATTAAATATAAAAAGAAAGCTAATTACACTGGGACACCTGTGAACTGTTTGGTGTGTTAGACTTTCATCGAGTCTATAATATCCTTATATAATATAGATGTTATTATATAATGATTCTTTTGAGGACATCGTTTGCAATGACCTGAGGACGAAGCACAATGCTTAAACCTTGAGAGCCCTTAGTTAGGTAAGTTTGCTGCAAGTTCGTGTGCATACACAGTCTCTCACGCACGCACAAACACAAGCACAAGCAAGTAAGCACAAACGCACGCACGCACGCACGCACGCAAGCAAGCAAGCACGCACGCACGCACGCACGCACGCACGCACGCACACACGTAAGCAAGCACGCACGCACAAATGCAAGCACGCACGCACGCATGCACGCACGCACGCACGCACGCACGCACGCACGCACGCACGCACGCACGCACGCACGCACCACTAACTTGACTAACGTTCACCGCGCCGCGTCCGTTTCCACGTCGCGATCGCAATCGCTCGTGAATTCGCGGCCGTTTCCCTCGGCAACGGCGAGACGAAAGCAGGACGACGCGTGCTGCCATCTAGCGTGCGACGTCGATCCGAGCATCGACACGTGCTGCCATCTAGCGCGCGGCGTCGGCGCGAGCGTTCAGCTGTCGTAAGCGAGGACGAAGCCGTGCTCCTGTAGGACGAAGAGACGCCGCTCCACGCTGTGCTTGTAGCGACACAGTAGGTCCTTGTCATGGTCGTCACTGACAACCTGTGAGGTGAGAGAGAGAGAGAGAGTGTTAGTGTTAGAGGAGACAGGTTAGAGAGAAAGAGAGAGAGGTTAGAGAGAGAGAGATAGGTAGGTAGAGGTAGAGAAAGAGAGAGAGTCGCAAGCGAGAGCTGATAGAGGCGAGAGAGCGAGAGAGCGGAGAGAGCGAGAGCGAGAGCGAGAGCGAGAGAAGGTATGAGATTGAGAGGAGATGATTGGAATAAGAGTATTTGTAGATAAGCGATGAGGAGAGAGAGAGGAAGAGAAGAGAGAGAGAAGACCCGAGGAGAGGGAAGGAAGTTTAGTAATATGAGAGGAGAGACGAGAGAGGAGAGACCCGGGCCGCTCGAGAGGGGAAGAAGGGGGGAGAGAGACGGGAGAGGAAGAGTGGTAGAGAGGGCGAGGGGAGAGAATAAGAAGAGAGAAAGAGACAGAAACAGAAAGAGAGAAATAGAGGGAGCGCACACGTGTGAGAGATGCAAGTAGACAGTTAGCAAGGTATTAAGAGTGATTAGAGAGAGGAAGAGCGAGACAGATTGACAGATAATTGTAAAGCTGAGGCACCAGAACGACGCGGCACTACCAGCGACGGCGACAACAATACTCCACCCACAGAGCGCCCGGTAGTCAGCAGCCCCAGCAAGATGGCCGGCAGTAGCGGACAAAACATAGTGAATCAGCTACTGGAGAGCTGTGCCAGCAAGCACTTGAGCTTCTGTAGCGGCGGAAGCAATCTTGGGCGTATTCCAAACAGTTCGTGCCAACGCCGCGGTCTGACAACTCGCCGAATCGAAAAAACACAAAGTGAACATTCCGTCAACGGCAAAAGCCACGTCGATCCGCGCACGACCTTCGAAATTAAGACGAGGGTACAGAGTGACAATGCGCTTGCTGAATCTAACGCCGTGATTTATCTCAGCGGTGTGTCAATTACGCTTGATTAATGACGCCGTTAACGTACCTCATCAAGTGTCCAAAGTGAAGTCATAGTATGGCGTCTAAGCGAGTGTCGGTGAGGTCGAACATGGTTTTCCGCGCCACATACTTTTCGCCGGAACCTACTCCGACGACTTAGTAAATCGCCCCCCGCGTTCGGAACTTAATACGCTCTTTTTATACTCGATTCAAACTATGTTTTAAGTTCCGGCATTATCATTTTCGATTCGACGGGACGAACGACCGCATCATCTGGCCAATAAACAGCCATCGTTACCTATCGGTTCCGTTGATTTTGTTGTTATGTCTCGTGTGCGGGGTGGGGGGGGGGAGGGGGAAGGGGGGGGAGGCGGGGGGGGGGGGGGCCGGGGGATGGGTGGCTGTCTGGAGGGGGGGGGGGGAGGGGTGGGGTGTTGATTTTGATGGGATTTAGTGACGACATAGACGAGGGTGGGGGAGACAGACCCGATGGGGAGAAAGGGAAAAGCAAGCATAAACTACTTGAGGTAGGATTGAGTCTGGTGGGCTCCCGCGTTGGGCGTGGGGTGGGGGGGCCATGGCGGCGCGAGGGAGGTGCCGCTCCCACCCTCTCCACAGCGTGGTGTGGCAAGACAGTAGTACACATGTTAGGTCCCCAGGGGGGAGCGGACGGATGAATGAATGTTGTCGATCGATTACGAGACAGCCCGCTAGAATCTTTTTAAACAAAAACACTCGGGCGTGCCGTTCGACCCCTTCATGCGCAGGGGCAGTGTACGCGGGTGGAATGGAGTTGATCGAGCACGACATGGCACTTGAAGCGTTCAAACTGTAAACACATTCCGCCGCCGAATCTGCGCGCAAACACTGACACATAAATATAATACCTATAAATAATATATTAGTTAAACATTATAGGTTATCATACTTATATATATATATACTTGTATGAAGGCGAGGGTGCGTGTCAATGGCGCGGCGTGTGTTACAGTTGAAATACTCAAGTGCCTGTGGATGGAGAGAGAGGGCCGTTCCAGCGTACCGTTCGACGCGTGTTTAGATGACTCTTGTCAGCGGTGACGCGCGGCGGTTTGGTGATGCTTTTTGTGTCGTTCTCTTTATGCAGAACGCCCTTCGTGCTCATGTTGCGGACATTACGTTACCATCGACCTGTGGTAGGCATTCGTTCGTCAGAGCTACCGGTGCACGGCGGCAATGGCAAAACACACACGCGACTGGGTAAATCAGTCGTCAGCTGCGTCGCAGATTCAAACGGCAGAAGAGGGCTATACGGAACAGACGAATGCAACTGCCGGCGATTAAAACTGCAGAACACATGAATGTACAGTACACCGGCGGTCATGGCTGCAATGCAAAACAGCTTGACGTGTACGACGACACACTGCGAGTGCGCAATGCCAACGCAAACACTGAACAGTGCTAGCCTTCAGACGCATGCGTTGATGTCAAGCGCACAACACACTAAGCACGGATAGAACAGCTCCATGCTCGAGAATTCCAAGCAAAATCGTGGTAGAAGCACGTCATTTCGGAGTTGCCGTGTCCTGTGTGGAAGTCGAAAGACTCGACCGACGGTCTTGACGGGGGAACCCAGCGAAACCATACAAAGCACAAATGTCTCCTTGTAGTTCTCGGCTGCACACATGCCACACAATCACTGCAGGGCCGGAAGCAGGGCAGAGGACTTGACTTGAGGGCGTCGAGAAGGATGCGAACACGATCCCTCTCAGTAAAACCCGCTCGCCGCTGTCCAAGAAAGATCACTCGTATGGCGGGACAGACAAGAACAAGCGAAACCGCAATGGAACATGCGGAACATCAGCAGAACATGCAGAATGCACAGAACAGCGCAGGAACATGCACAGAACACACAAGAAGCACGCCAAGCTAAAAAGAGAAAGGGAACACGCAAATGCACAGAACAGTGGCAGAACACACAGAACATCGCAGAATGCACAGAACATGCAGGAATGCACAGAACACACAGAACATGCAGAACCCACCAGAACATGCGCAGAATGCACAAGAACATGCAAGAGATGCCAGCAGAACACAGAACATGCAGAACTGCCAGCAGAACACAGAATGCAACAGAACACACCAGAACATGCAGAATGCACAGAACAGCACGAGAACATGCGCAGGAAACCCACAGAACATGCCAGAATGGCACAGAACATAGCAGAAGTCACACGAACACACAGAACATAGCAGAACCGCACAGAACATGCAGAATGCAGGTCAGAACACAACAGAACAGCAAAATGCACAGAACACTGGGGCAGAATGCACAACGAACAGCAAGCCAGAACATGCAGAAGTGCCACAGAACATGCAGAATGCAAAGAAACACACAGGAACATGCAGAACCCACAGAACATGCAGAATGCACAAACACTCGGATACAGCAAAACACATCGGCAGAACACACAAAACGACAGAGCAGAACCGCACAGAACAGCGAGCGAGAGCCGTTGCGGACGTTCTGGGATGGCTGCAGGCGGCCCATCTTGATCTCATCGCGCGCGAGGCTGAGTGCGGACGATGCTAGGTGCAGCACACGCATGTAGAGCACAAACTGTTCAGTCCTCCACTTAGGTCGTCACTGGTCCATAGTGGGGGTGGTCTGGCAAGTGTTCTCCGCTGGTTCAACGTCTCGTTACTAGAGCGAGAGAGAGAAGAGGAGAGAGAGAAGGTTTGGAAGAGAGAGAGCGAGGGAGGGATGGGGCGTGAGGTCAGCACATCACAGTAGACAGCAAACTTGTGTCAGGGTGCGCTCCGTAGTAGCTCACGAGTGTGGAGGAGAATGAGGGGGTGCGGGATCAGCTGTGCAATGTTCTCGGGGGGCTTGGTTCAACGTCTCGTTCGTAACAGAAAGACGGAAGCGAGGGGAGAGGTTAGAGAAAGTGAGGTAGGAGGGATGGAGAGAAACAGGAGAGAGAGAGAGAGAGAGAGAGAGAAACAGAGAGAGAGAAAGCAGAGAGAGAGAGAGGAGAGAGAGAGAAAGAGGAGAGAGAGAGACGAGAGAGAGAGGTAAGAGAGAGAGAGAGAGAAGAGAGAGAGAGAGAGAGAGAGAGAGAGAGAAAGAGAGAGAGGAGAAGAGAAGAGAGATTAGAGAAGAGAGAGCAGAGAGAGAGACAGAGAGAGAAGAGCAGGAGAGAGAGATAGAAAAAAAGCGAGAGATAGAGCGGAGAGATATAGAGAAATGGGGGGATAGAGCAGAAAGCCGAGAGTAATCATCATCCAAATCATCGTCATCAATCATCATCATCGACATCATCATCAAGTCGTCATCGTCATCAACACCATCATGCAAATCATCATCATCACAGTCAGCAATCCATCATCATCATCGTCACATCTTCATCATCCAAGCCAGACTTCCTATCGTCAGCGCAGCGAAAACTCAGCTCCACCTGTCGTGAGATGACAGACTCAGTCAGCTTGCCTATGGCGCCCTCTCTCGTGCGAGCCAGCTCAACAATGCAGTCGATGAGCGCCAGCAGCCACAGCCAAGTAAGTCAGCTCGCCAGAGTCTCGTTGTGCTCCTTCTGCATTCGTAAACAAAAGCGTACAGCTATAACAAGCGCGCAGAAGCTATAACAAGCGACAGCTATAACAAGCGTACAGCTATAACAAGCGCAAGCAGCTATAACAAAAGCGTCAGCTATAACAAGCGTAAAGCTATAGGAAAAAGCGATTAGCTCATAAAAGCGCGGACAGCTAAACAAGCGTACAGCGATATTCAAGGCGTACAGCTATAACAAGCGCGCAGCTATAACAAGCGTACAGCTATATCAAGCGTACAGCTATAACAAGCGCGCAGCGCTATAAACAACGTATCCACAGATTATATCAACTACAGCAGCTATTAACAAGCGCGCACTATAACGAGAGCGACAGCTATAACAATGCGAGCGAGCGAGAGACGGCGCCGGTAACCTAACGTCGACACCTACGATGCATTCGTAAACAAGTGTACAGCCATTACGCGCGGACCTACAACGTGCGGAAGCCAAATATTGACACCCGGGCACGCATGCCGCCGTGAAAAAGCCGTCAAAACTTCGGAAAAAACCAGAGCTTATCATCAATCATCTTTGTGTGTTTTTGTTTGTTTTGTTTGTTTGTTTTTTGCAGTCCAGATATGCCGTCCATGTGCCGCGCCATCTGTTTTGTTGCACTTCAGGATTGTTGAGGCTCAAAAGCCTTGCCACGACGATTATTTAAAGACGATAATTCATTGATTGTTCCGACAGATTTTTCATCGCTAGTCCATCCGTACCCACATCACCCACTCACCTCTAAAATGGTCTCCCCCGGTCAGCTCAGGAGCGACAAAGAATATTGGAACCGATTCCCATGGCGGCGCTGCTGCCCGAGTAGGGAAGGTTCGTCGGGGCGGGAGCCGGAACGCGGTCGTGTCAATTACGTTCGGCGACTGTTGGCATGTAAAGGGGCGCCGCTGTGCGAGCGGTCTGCGCGTACGCGCATCACGACGTGACTGCGGACTGCCCTGGAACATTCGCTGAAGAACGTCGAAGAGAACGGACAGGGATGTTAGACAACAACCGACAAGGACGAAGGTGCAGCAGTTCAACAAACATCTGAACACGAAGAACAAACAACATCAATAACAAAAATAGCTACGTCAATAACGAACAAACAACCATCAGCAACAAAAATGACAACAATCAGACGAGAGAACAACAACATCAGCAAAAAAATTACATAATAACAACAACAAACAAGTAACAAAAACAATGACAACAACAACAGTAACAACATCAGCAAACAAGAATGACAACAACAACAGAAAAACAACAACATCAGGCAACAAAAAAACGACGTCAATAACAACAACAACAGTAACAACAACATCAGCAAAAACAATGACAACAACCACAGTAACAACATCAGCAACAAGAATGACAACAACAACAGTAACAACAACGTCAGCAACAAAACCGACAACAACAACAACAGTAACAAAAACGACAACAACAACATCATCATCATCATCATCATCATCATCATCATCATCATCAACAACAACAACAACAACAACAACAACAACAACAACAACAGTAAGAACATCATCAACAACAACAATGACGCTTCTACGCCAGGTGGCGCCACGTCTGCGCGTACGCTCGTCATCGGGCGACTCACCAGAGTTGAACGCGGTCCTGAGCAGGTGGTCGGACAGACGGCTGCCGCTGCTCGATCGTTTACAGTTACCCGGTCCGCTCTCATACCCCGCGTCGTCGGGATCGATCGCCCCCGGATGCTGCTGCTGCTGCTGCTGCTGCTGACCTGCAGGGGCGAGAAACAAGTGAGCGTCACGCGCGTGGTGCGGTCGTAGAGTCGAGCGCGATGCTGTGCGTAGATCTAATGATGGTTTACGTATGTACGCACACAGACGCACGCACGCACGCACACAGACGCATGCACGCATGCACGCACGCACACAGACGCATGCACACACACATGCACGCACGCACGCACGCACACAGACGCACGCATGCACGCACGCACGCACGCACGCACGCACCATCGCTAGAACTAGCTGGGCGTACCAGATAGTTGGTAGTCCATGAGATTGGCGGGCATCGTGTTCACGTGATGCACGCCGCGGCAGAACGCCGCCTGCAGCGGCTTCGTCGGACTCCCCGGCAGCGCCACCTGGTGGTACGGCAGCTTGTTCGAGTCCATGATAGGGGGCAGCATCGTCGGCAGCTGGGCGGCGGGCGTGCGGTGCATGCCGGGCGTGCACGGCGGAGTCCCTGAAACAATCGCCACGCTCGTAACCGTGACGACACGTCCTTCAACGTACTCTTCTAGCAATGCGTGTTCTAGAAACACCTCTTCTAAAAGTTTTCTAAAAAAATGTCCGTTATAAAGAAAAACGGCTCATCTATCAACACCTTCGTACATTCCTAAAACCCCCTCGCCAATCGCAAAACCGTGCCGTCGCGCACCCCGCCTGTCGATCGCGCGAACCCGCGCACACAAGTGCTGCCCCCTGTGCGTACCTGTGCTCCAGCGGCGGCGTGGCGACGTCTGGCTGCTAGGCGGTTGTGCGGAGTTTGCGCGTACGGGTGGGGGCGTGCCCTGACTAGACGCACTCGTGGTTCGATAGCGATTCATCGTGGGTGGCGTGCCGATCGTGAACTGAACTGTGAGGACGGGCGGAAGAAACAAAATTTAATTAATGAATTAAAATATTTTAATAATTAAAATTTATAATTGCATTTTTTTGCGCGAAAAAAATAAATAAGCGAACGCCGGGTTATCGTAGCACGGCAGAAAAATAGCATCTCTTGGCGGCGGCGATGAAAAACAATGCTCAGGTGAAACCACTCAGGCGTTCGAAGGATGCGAATTATCATAATTTATTTATTACGACGAAAATCATACGCTATTGATGGGACTAACGATTATTTGTTTTTACGACGAATGTTTTTCGTCCGTGTCTTCCGTAGTTGTGTCGAGGGGATTTGCAAGCGTAGGTAGGTGTAGGTTAATAATAATAATAATATACAACCACGTATTCTTGGAAAGAGATTAAACTTACACCCTTGAGTTTTAAGGTTTTTATATAATATACAACCATGTGCTTATCAGGGAATGTGTTGCTATTTCCTTCTCATATTGTAACAGTATTTGATAAATCTCATTTAACATAAATAATCATGCAGTACACAATTATCGCATTATGTGTGCATAGATGTAGTGCTATCAATTCTAGGTTAACACTGAGCAATTCGCATCACTGAGGTTTAGCTGCCATATTAATAACACAATTCAAAAATATGTGAAAAATATGTGCAAACACTGTATTACAGCTATCATGAACATATCTATAACAATATTATAAATATGTTGATGGTGCTATACATTATCTCTTCTTTCAAATGCAATCATTTTAGCTATTCTGTATAGAAGCAATAACTTCAGTCTGAGTAATACACACAAGAACCAATGTAGAGATATGTTTAAGCAACTATTAAAACATTCATCCACATGAACATAAACAGAACATGCGAGTGTGATAAACCTTGAGAAAGGTGGAGATCTTTAACTATAATATCATGAGCCAGATATTACATAAAATTTAAATAATAAAACACTCAGACTAGTGTACGTAATGCTGATCAAAATTGCTTCAAACACAGCAGCGTGAAAATTTCTACCGTGATCACTACTTGAGGTATATATATATACTTGCGTGGGATATGACACTTGCGTGCATTGCACTTAAAGCAACACAGGTACTACTGTGTTAGAGGGCACAACTGCAAAAATTAGTGCAGGGAGGCTGTATTCGGGTGCTATCTTGTGATTTCTGCATTCATCTACTGTAATCATTGACGGGGTGCCCAAAAGAAGTCCGGATGTAGCTTTGGACGGTTTGCACGAAGCAAGTTTCCTCACGGAGTATGGGTTCTTCGCCGAGCAACTCTTTGACGATCAAACCTCATCTCCATCTCTTCGAGAACACGCGGCGTGTACCGTACGACCAACTTCACCGTACCTGAATTGGAACGATACATTTACTGCACGAGTATTTAATGCCACGTTACACCGATGTTAATATGATATAGAAACTCAACACACGAATAAAATCCGCTGTTATCTTTGAATAACAAATGAGGTTAACATTCAGCAATGGAGAGTAGAAATGCGAATAGAAAATGAATGACCTATTATTTACACATAACATTTTAAAATATGTTTTACTGTTTTAAAATAAAAAAGGTAAATTATCTCATCTAATTAACTGAATAATTTAAATTACGAGTTGACAGATGTCCCCCGAATTTCCAAGACACAGCTTACAAGCCTAAGAGATCTGTGTGTCATACTGGTACAAATCATTCAGTTTGTATTCAAAGGTTTGCAGCTAGACCAACCTTTGGCAGCCTTGAGTAGCTCCACGGCTTTCTCATGATGTTCGCCTTCAACACTCTATAAAACATAAACATTCAATGCATACAGCATCAGCATAACCATGCCACACAACAGTTTTGGTCCGATTTCTAATTGGCCATATCAGTAAACCAACTGATCACATGTGACTTTAACCACTATCTACAATTGTCTGGCTGTAAAAGAGAACACATGCATGTCAGTGTTTCCCCTGGCCAAAAAGATCTGCGAGGTGGTGAATGTTTTTTCTGATGTGTTTGCGCGTTTCCAGGTCCTAGCAAAGAGTGTAGTGCAGGTGCTGGCCAAGCTAGGGGGTCCGGGGGCATGCTCCCCTGCGAAAAATTTGTGAAAAAATGGTGCAATTTGCTGCATTCTAAGCTATTCTGAACACATTGTACGAGACTCATGAATCTCTTTTTCAAGTTGTCAAACGTTTCGTCAGCGAGGCGGTGTTTTGGACAAATTTCTGTGTGGCGGCTGAGAATTTGAGCGAGGCGGCCCGCCTCGCTCATAACAATGCAGGGGAAACACTGCATGTAATTCACACATGATATACAAATATAATTTTATATCGAGTACCGTAACATGTTAAAATTAACGTTCGCTTCTAAAACGTAATGATAAAATTGTGGTCTTTCACAATTACGCACAGCTACGTTCATTAACCCCTTACCGACAAAAAACGTGCCTTCATAGACTTAACAACAATAAGGTGGCATTACACCACATGTATGCAGCCCCGTCTGTAACATGCGCAAATACACGTGATTTTAACGTAAGAACAGACGCTCACCACTCCGTTCACGGACAGCAGCTGGTCGCCGCGCTTCAGCCCGCCGTGTCGGTCGGCCACGCCCGCGGGGATGATGCGTGAGATGTAGATGGGAGAGTTCTGCTCCTTGCCTCCCATGATGTTGAAGCCGAGACCTTCCTCTGTCTTCGGCAGCTCGACGACGCGCGGATGGGCGTGGCCCTCGCTCGCGGCGAACGCTGCAACGGTCGCCTGGGGACGGTGCGACACGTCGAAAAATGTACTGATGAGCTACGCCTCAACCATTGGGTAGCTCTAGTAGTAGAACTATATATAGCCCTTGTCCGTCACACATGTGGCGAACAATGGCTATAGTGCTAGAGCTAACCATTGGGTAGAACAGTGACCATGTGCTGTTCATTCAAATCAAGGATCGATAACCCAAGTGTCCACATCAATGTAAAATCGATCACTATGCATGCAGTGCACTGGTGCAATAGTGAGCATTTTTAGCAGGATGCAATTGCAAATACTGTGCTATGTTGAGCTAAAAACACATGTACCACGAAATCCAACAACATTGATTTCATGTGACAAGAATGCCCGTGAACTTGTAATTGCATGACCCCACTTTAGTTTCGCCATGTACGAACGCTCCGCAAGAGTCACCTTTGCCGTTGCACTTGCTCGCACTTCTGGGCTTCCTGAAACATCTACAGTTTTGTACACGTGCTCGTAGACCTCTCTTACAGCTGTGCAGAAGTCACTCTGCAGAACTCTCTGCAGGGCTACTAGCTTTGATGTCGGAATTTCACCTGCCTTCTGTAACTTGTCCAAGAGCTCGACTGCTCTTTTCACATCTGAAAAAAGTATCAGTCACGTTTAAACCGGCCTTTCTGGATGCAAAATTATTTATTTAAATAGCACAGACAGTGAATCAATGATTCAATCAGAATCACTTCAGGTTGTGTTTAACTGAGTACAGTTAAAACGGTTATTGCAAGTTTTTTGGCTCAGAAAAACTAAATATAGCTGAATATAGTCTCACCTTACAGTGGAAATATCACTGATTAACATTCAAAACACCAAGATTTTATGCAGTTATAGCATAGAAAAATGGATTTGACCACATCATACCAGCTCCGGATATTATCGTATGCCGACAATCCAAAATATAAATGGCGCCTTCAAACCAAGTCCATAATTAAAACAAAAAGCCGTGCAATTCTGTGTGGTAAATGTTATTGACTTTCTATGTCAATAATTCAGAGCACTTTCTGTCATTGTCATGCCATGTTACTATAGATCTGACTTGTAATCCACAAGCTTCTCTAATAACAGACTTTACGTGGCATTAGTACTGCTCATAGGGTCTATGTCCCCCAGTGTACTGCCGGAACGTACCCTGGTCACTATTTGATATGGTTAGGGTTAGGATTAGGGTTAGGGTTAGTGTTAGGGTTAGGGTTTGGGTTAGGGAGTAGGCGTAGGTGACTCCTTAGACTCGTTAGTGGAGTAGGCGAGGTACGGTCCGGCATATTAGATACTATAAGATAGTACGGTACCAGGGTACGTTCCGGTATACCGGACCGTACCCAGGGCCAGGGTACGTTCCGGCAGTACCCCGGGGGACATAGACCCTATCAGCCATACTGGCACTGCCACTGCACTGGTCAGTGGTCTTTCACTGTTTGCATCACACTCACACTCACAGTCTGTCAGTCACACTCAGTGACTCACGAGTCACACTCACACTCACAGCAGTCAGCACTGACTTGGACCGTTTCAACAATTAAAAAATTGTAAACCGACACAAACTATAATTTATTGTCACTTATTGTATACTCAATTAGCAATTTATGATTAACAATTTGAAACAAGCATAAAGTAAGCTAAAAATTACCTCTTTCTAACATCAAAGCGTCTTCTGTGGTCGCCATACTGTTTCCTTCTTTCAGGTCAGAGTTCGATCGCTGGCGCATGCGCAGTGGCAAAAGGCGATAGACGACAAACGCCGTTTTCTTGACGCGTATATAGTCTTCCTCCCGCCTCCCTCTCCCTCTCCTCCCGCCTCCCTCCCCCTCTCCTCCCACTTCCTTCCCCTGTCCTCATATCTCCCTCCCTCAACACCTCCAGGATCCTTTATATTTTGCATTTTCTTTTTTGAATGTCATTTAGTTTCTATGACAGTTTGCGTAATAAATGTATATTCTCATGTATTTATTTCTGGTGCTATGGATTTCTTTTATTTTTTTCTACTTAGTATATAGTTAAATAGATAGAGAGAGAGAGAGAGGGAGAGGGAGGGAGGGAGAGGAAGGGGGAGAGAAGAGGAGAGAAATAAGAGAGAGAGAAAGAGACAGAGTTAGAAAGAGAGAGAAATAGAGGGAGCGCACACGTGTGTGAGAGAGTGAAAAGTTAAGCGCACACGTGTGTGAGAGAGTGAAAAGTTAGACAGTTAGAGAGGTTATTAGAAAGAGTAGAGAGAGGCTAAGAGGATTAGAGTTTAGTCAGATCTGACAGTAATTGTAAAGCTGGGGGCACAGTAACGACGCGGTCACACCACGACGGCGACAACAATACTCGACCCAGCAGATGGCGCCCTGGTAGCAGCAGCCACAAGATGGCGCTGCAGTAGCGGACGAAACAAGTGAACAGCGTACCTGGGAGAGGCTGTGCAGCAGCACTTGAGCTGTCTGGTAGCGGCGGAAGCAATCGTGCGGATTTCCAAACAGTTCGTCCAACGCCGCGGTCTGACACTGCCGAACGCAAAAAAAACGACAAGTGAACATTCCAATCGCAAAAAGCACGTCGATCCGCGGCACGACCTTGAATTAAACGAGGGGCAGAGTGACGATGAGCTTGCGTGATCTAACGCGCGTCTCACTGTGTGTCAATTAACGCCTGATTAATGACCCGTTAACGACCCTGAAGTGTCAAAGTGAAGTCAAGATGGCGTCTAACGAGTGTCGTGAAGGTCGCGACATGATTTTCCACGCCACAACTTTTGTCGCCGGAACCACTCGACGGATTAGTAATCGCCCCACCCGCTCGGAACTTAATACGTCTTTTATACTCGATTCAACTATGTTTTAATGTTCCGGCATTAATCATTTCGATTCGACGGGATCGTAACGACCGCATCATCTGGCCAATAAACACGCGATCGTTACCCCGCCTCTCCACCTCTCACGCGTGTGTGCAGGAGATAGTACACATGTTAGTTCCCGGGCGACGAAAATAATTTTCAGATCGATTACAACGACCGCATAATCTTTAAAAAAAAAACACTCGCGTCGTTCCCCTGCCTCTCCTTCTCCAGAGAGAGTGTACGCGGTGGAATGGATGGCTGGAGTGTTTCACGTACGGTGTCGATCGCGTGGTTGTAGATGATCTTGTCAGCGGTGATCGCGCGGTTCTTTTGTTCGTTCTTCAGAACGCCCTTCGTCTTCAGGTTGCGGCAGACGTTCAGCGACTGGTGGTAGCATTCGTTCAACTCCGTCACGGCTGCAATGCAAACACACAGCGACGTGTAAACTCACTGCGTCGCGATTCAACGCAAAGGCTATACGGACAGACATGGCAACCCCGATTAAACGCAAACACATGACATGTACAACACCGCGTCACGGCTGCAATGCAAAAACACAGCGACGTGTACACACACACTGCGTCGCAATGCAACGCAAACACTGAACATGTACCCTCAACGCATCTTGATTCAACGCAAACACTACACGGATAGACATGCCATCCCAGATTCAACGCAAATATTTAGAAGCACTTCTTTCGATTCAGTGTGCCTGTGCGGAATGGAAACTCGCTTCACCATCTGACAGGGGAACCCAGCGAAACCGTACACCGCGCAAATTCTCTGTATTTCTCTCCTATCACAGCCACACAATCACTCAGCCGAAAGGCAGAGGACTTGACTTGAGGCGTCGAGAAGGAATCGAACACATCCCTCTCAGTAAAACCCCCCTCCCCTGTCCAAGAAAGATCGATATATGCGGGACACAGAACAAGCGGAACCCATGGAACACGCAGAACACACAGAACATGCAGAATGCACAGAACACGCAGAACACACAGAACACGCAGAACACGCAGAACACGCCGAACACACAAAATGCACAGAACACACAGAACATGCAGAACCCACAGAACATGCGGAATGCACAGAACATGCAGAACCCACAGAACATGCGGAATGCACAGAACACGCAGAACACACAGAACATGCAGAATGCACAGAACACGCAGAACACACAGAACACGCCGAACGCACAGAACATAAAGAATGCACAGAACACACAGAACATGCAGAACCCACAGAACATGCAAAATGCACAAAACATGCAGAACCCACAGAACATGCAGAACCCACAGAACATGCAGAATGAACAGAACCCATGGTTCGGTTCGGCGCCGCGCATCGACGCTGCTGCTGCCGTAGGGCGGCGTGCAGGCCAACCTGCGGGTACGTGCCAGTTCGTAGCTGTGACATCGCTGTGACACGGATTGTAACGTGACTGTGACGTCGCTGTGACATCGCTGTGACGTGGATGTTAAACTGCTGACATCACTGTGACATCGCTGTGACGTGCGATAGTAAACATGTGACATCACGTGTGAACATCGACTGTGACGTGGAGGTAACACTGGTAGAACATCACTGTGACATCGCTGCTTGACGTGGATGTAAACTGTGACATCACTGTGGAACCAATCGCTGTGACGTGGATGCTACAACTGTGACATTGGTTGTGTCATGAATGATATGTTTAATCACAGCTTAAGTGATTTCCTGATCATACTTATGACAACTTCGCTTACCAAATCCCGCGGTGCTCCTCGAAAAAGCTGAAGTCGATTTATTGCCACCTTTAGTATTATAGAAATGTAATGTACAATTTATAATATAAATGTCGACGACTCACCTGTTCACTTGTTTGCAGACGACCGAGGCGGTGGCCATTCCCAGGAGTGCATCCATCGACAGCAAAGCGTCTGCTGCGAGTTCTGCCGGGTCGTCTGCACCCATCGCTTCTCTCTCTCCACCCTCAGGTATGCATATATGTCATACATGCACTCAGACCCTACCTCTCTCCACCCTCAGGTATGCATATATGTCATACATGCACTCAGACCCTACCTCTCTCCACCCTCAGGTATGCATAGTTCATGTCGTGTACTCAGACCCTACCTTCTCCACCCTCAGTATGCATATATGTCATCATGCACCAGACCCTACCTCTCTCCACCCTCAGGTATGCATATATATCATACATGCACTCAGACCCTACATGTTTCCACGCTCAGGTATGCATATATGTCATACATGCACTCAGACCCTACCTCTCTCCACCCTCAGGTATGCATTATGTCATACCATGCACTCAACCCTACCATGGTTTCACGCTCAGAGTATTGCATATATGTCATACATGCACTCCAGACCCTACTCTCTCCACGCTCAGGTATCTGGCATATATGTCATACATGCACTCCAGGATCCTACATGTTCCACGCCTCAGGTATGCATATATGTCATACATGCACTCAGACCCTACCTCTCTCCACCCTCAGGTATGCATATATGTCATACAGTGCCACTCAACGACGCTAACATGTTTCCACGCTCAGGTATGCATATATGTCATACATGCACTCAGACCCTACCTCTCTCCACCCTCAGGTATGCATATATATCATACATGCACTCAGACCCTACATGTTTCCACGCTCAGGTAAGCATATATGTTATGTGTGTACTCAGACCTTCTCTCGCTCCATCATCAGGTAAATATATGTCATATTCATACAAACCCTACCTCTCACCACCCTCAGGTATGCGAATATATTGTATAAATACCCAGACACCATCTGTCTCCGCCTACACCTTACCTACGCTTGCAAATCCCCTCGACACAACTACGGAAGACACGGACGAAAAACATTCCGTCGTAAAAACAAATTCAATCCTTAATATTTCCCATCAAAGCGTTATGATTTTCGTCGTAATAAAATAAATTATGATAATTCGCATCGCTTCCGAACGGCCTGAGTGAGTTTCCCCTGAGCATATGTTTTTCATCAGCACGCGCAAGAGATGCTCTTTTTCTTCCGTGCCTCACAAGGAACCCTGCGGTTTCTGCTTTCTTCGCGCAAAAAAATGCGAATTATAAATTTTAATTATGTAAAATTGTGATTAATTCATTAATAAATTTTGTTTCTTCCGCTGTCCCTCACCAGTTCAGTTTCCACGATCGGCACGCCACCCACGATTGAATCGGCTATCGAACACGGTGCGTCTAGTCAGGGCACGCCCCCGCCCGGTTACGCGCAAACTACCGCCCCCAACCGCCTAGCAGCCAAGGACGTCGCCACGCCAGCCGACTGGAGCCACGGTTACGCACACGGGGGGCAGCAGCTATGTTGGCGCGGAGTCGCTCGATCGACAGGCGGGTGTGGCGACCCGCACGCGTTTTGCAATTGGCCGAGGGGGTTTTTAGGAAGGTACGAAGGTTGTTGATTATGCATGAGCCGTTTTTTATATATAACACATTTTGTTTAGAAAATTGTTTAGAAAGAGGTGTTTCTAGAACACGCATTGTTAGAAGAGTACGTTGAAGGACGTAGTCGTCACGGTTAACGAGCGTGGAAAGATTGTTCAGCGGACTCCGCCAAAGTGCACAGCCCGGCATGCACCGCACGCCGACCGCCCAGCTGGCCGACGATGCTGCCGCCTATTCATGCGCACTCGAACAACGCTGCCGTACCACCCAAGGGTGGCTGCTGCCGGTGAGTCCGGAACGAAGCCGCTGCAGGCGGCGTTCTGCCGCGCGCGTGCCATCACGTGAAACACGATGCCGGCCAATACTCATGGACTACCAACTATCTCCGGTACGCCAGCTAGCTTCTACGCGACCTGGTGCGTGGGCTGCATGACATGCAGTGGGAGGCACTCGTGCGGCGTCTGTGCGGTGCCGGGCCGAGCAGTGCGTAGCGGCGTTGTGTGTTGTGTGCGTGCATGTGGTGTGTGTATCACTGCGGTAGCTGTGGTGCGCTGCATGCAGTTTGG